AAGGTATCCAGCTTCTCAAGGTGTTCCTTCACGAGGTCAGCATTAATGGAGGGCAGGGGATCTCCCTCACGCGGACCTCCCTGTCCCGTAGCGGGCATGGGCGTCCAATGGGACTGATGAAAGACTGATGCAAAGTACCCAGTTAATAGGTTGGCTTTTTCCTGGGTGTCAGTTGTCAGTTGTCCCATCTGGTTCAGCAGGGGTCCAATGTTGCCCTTGCTTTTCCTCCGGCTCCCCACATATCTGAAAAAGGACTTTTTATTGTCCTTGATGCTCAAAGCTAGTTGGAGTTCAGTTGCAGCCTTGGCTTTCCTGGTTTGCTCCCTGCAGGACTGGACCAGTGCAGAATAATCCTCCTTGGAGGTGAATCCCATCCTCCATCCTTCATAGGCCTTTCTTTTTAGCCTCAGGGGGTCTGCTAGGTGCCTGCAGAGCCAGGGGGGCTGCTGTGCCCTCTTGCTGCCTTTCCTCTGAGATGGAATAGAATCAGCTTGTGCATTGAGGATCACTCCCTTGAGGAGCAACCACTCTTCCTGAACTCCCCTCTCCCTGGGGTCAAGGTCCCTTAGGGACTCACTGACAAGCCTCCTGAACTCTTTCAAGTCAGCTTTCCTGAAGTCAAGGACTTCCGTGTTGCTGACTGACTTGCCAGCTTTACGGCGGATGGTGAAGGTGATCAGCTCGTGGTCGCTATCACCCAGCTTCCCATCGATCACTAGGTCATTGATTAGGTCATCCCCAGCAGCCAGTACCAGGTTGAGCAGTGCTGTGGCCAGTACCAGGTCAAACCCCACTGTGCACCTGGGAGCAGTGGGGCCGGCTGCACACACCACAGCCCAAGCTGCCCTCTGCGCCTGGGCCACAGGACCTGCTGCGGGGCGGATAAAATCCCTTGGTGGGCTGGATCTGGCCCATGGGCCATATTTTGCCCACCCCTGCCCTAACCAGTTTCCTGAGCGGTGTTTTGACTGGGCATATTGGATGAATCTACATGAGATGCTTAATGTGCTGAAGACTAATTCTACTCCGCATTAATGCAGTGGGCAAAACCCATGCTAATGTGCTAATGTGCAGTAGAATAAATCTAGCATCACCAAAAACCTGTTCAACTGTGCTAATGTGCAGTAACGCCAATTTACAGAGCATTACGTTAGTGCCAGTCATTGCAGGTATATTATACCTGTCATTGCATTAATACCCCCATATTTATGCACCATAAATATGGGGGCATTAATGCCATGCACCCACAGTATATCAGCTAAATAGATTAGCTCAAGTGTGTAGAAGAATCTTAACAGAAAACTCAGCCTCATGATTCTCATCAATATGGCAGCCCCTTTATAGCTCCAGACCAGTATAAAGAGTCCATAGTGTAAATGAAAATTAAGCCTTCCACCTCCAAAGCTACCAACTGGTTGGTAGCAAGAATTGTTACTGGGAGCAGTCTTCAAACATAAAATGGGATGGTATTCTCCAGCCTAGCTGGCAGATAGATAAGAAAATGTATACCTATTACTGACCCCAATTTCAGTCACAGTCTGAGAGGGAGGATACAGTAGGCATTGGTGCTACAGAATGCGAGGACATTAGGGTCAACCATCAATGCTGATGTTTTGCATATATGGGGGTATAGCTTCTGTGTATAGCATGCAGTGGTGTACCATGGTGTATTACGGTGATTGTAAAGCTACTGAGCCTGGTTCACCTCTCCCTGATGCTAGTGCAATTGTATTCAAGCAGGCAAAACACAAACTCTATGTGAGTCACTGTAAGGGAGAGGAAAATCAGACCTGCAATGCTTGCTTCTTTTTCCCTGGTGGATCTGACACAGTTCATGCTGCTTTCTGAAAAAGCCCACTTTTCATTGACAGGAATGAACTTGGATGGGTCTATATGAAGCCAGATTTACTGCCGATATCCTTTTATCTGGTGTGGATACTGAACAACATCCTTATTGTTGGATGGCTCTTCCTGTGGGACCGAGAGTAAGTGACCTTTGCAACAGAGAGCTCCTCTAATCTTTGCACTAGATCTGACTTGCTGCTTATTACACATTTGTGTAATCCCAGAGAACAAAAGGTAGTCACTCAATTTAAAAGTGCCTGGGGCAAGGCTAGGCAACCTTTATATAGTGTTGGCCTTGTGTAACATTTGCTTCTGGGCCATGAGCTATGACTAAGATCTTTACCAACATGCCAGTCTTGCATAGGTTGAATGCAAGTGGGAAAATTGGAGCTGTCATTTTGAATCACTTGTCATAAGTCTGGTTGCTCCTGTGGCCTTTGGATTACTCTTGTGACTGTAATCATTTTCAAGGGCATAGTGCAGCAGAAATACAGGAAGGGGAATACTTCGCTGGCAGTCAGAGAAATGCAGTTCCTAAAATCCCTGTGAGATGTAGCATAAGTGGACTAGCTCTAGGTTAAGCCAAAACTGTGTTAAGGGTTGGTTCATCCCTAGTTTGTTCTGAGTACAAGAGAAAGGCCATGAGCTAGGACATCAGTTGAGCCAATATACAGTTAAGCTAAGACACTGTCCCATGTGTTTTCCCCTAGGTACCTCATCCCAGCCTTGGTTTTCCTGGCAGCCCTTACTTTGACCAGTTACCTTTGTCTCTTCATTTCACACCGATCCTTGAGTATTCATGCTGCTTGGTTCCTAAAGTGTCACAAAGTAGATCTGTGGCTCATCCGCATTCTGGTATGTGACATTTGAGAGCTGTTACTTATCCATTGTTCTACCACAGGTGGCAGAGTCCCAATATATGACCTCTGAAGTGTGAGAGTTGAAATCCTTCCTTCGGTGCTAACTCCCCTCAGTAGCATGCATATAGAGGCCTCTCTTAGTTCCCCATCTGCTGACACAAGGGGAGTGAGAAAGAAGAGGAGCAGGTCCTTCTCATGTTTCGAGTTGCTGCAGAATGATGCTTCACATTGAGATTGACAGTCCAGGCTGCCGAAAATGGGTTCGTAGTCCATTAGACTGCTTATAAAAAAATGGCAAATGCAACTGAGAAAAACATGTGTTGCTGAAAGTCTGGAGCACCTCCTTCCTTCTGCCTTTCACTTGGTATCTTATTCTGAAGGGAAATTATTTATTTCAAATGCTGAGAACACCAGCTGTTTGTGCCTGGTAAACTGCACAGAGGAAAGGAAGTGGAAAATATGCCTTCTCTTCCCCAGCTCACCCTCCACCCCTGCCAAACATTACTTGTTCAAGCTGAATTTTTCATGCCAGGTGCCTACCTCAGGCTGAATTATTCTGAAAGGTTCAGCAAAAGGAGCTCCAGGGCTGTCATCCGATCCCTTCCTTTCTACCTTGCTTCTGACCAAGAAACTCTACACCCTCCTCATCCTGCCCTGCACTGGCTCCCCTCCTAGCCTGCAGCATTCTCCCTGAGTGCTTGATTCCTTTCTGTGCAGCTGGATTAGGGACAGGCATTGGAAAGTGGATCATTTCAGAAGGCAGTCTGAGAATCAGGGAGGATTTCCAGGGAATCTGTGATATGAGGAATCTCTCCAGACTGTAGTTTTGAACTACATTCCTGGAACTCCTTGTCACATATGTACTTTCTTCTCAACCTGTGTCCCCAGCCCTGACAGAGTCAGGCATCAGAATTCACAATCCAGGAAGAGGTAGTAACAGTCCTATTGTTTATAGCTCAAATCATGCTCTGTGCAACAAATGTGAATGAAACAAACTGGATAGGGGTGGGTGCGGCGGGGTGGGGATCGGTACTGACCCCTGGGATTGGAGTCTTCTCAGTCTGGCTGTGCAGCATTATGGGAGGCTGCCAAGGGTGGTGGAGAGCTCTGCATAGTTGTGGATTCACTGCCCTCCCTTTTCCCCATAGACCCCTCTCTGTGAAGTGCTGATAGGACCTCTGTGAAACATAGAGCTGGAAATACAGCTCCTGTGAAGCTAGGAGCAGGTTTCTTTCATCCTGCTCTTACCCTCAGATGTTGTAGCAGAGCCATTTTAACTTCCCTTGGGCCATGAAGGGCTGGTAGGATCTGTGCTGGAGGAATACAGAGTGTTCACTTCTTACCCTCAGTCAGTGTTTCACTGTATCCTGTGATAGGTCCAAAATGGGATTGCGCTGTATGCGACGTGGACTACCATAGCTACCCTGCTGAATTTTACTGTCGTGCTGGTCTATGAGGGAAACGTGTCCAATAAGACTGCAACTACCATCTCTCTGTGCATCCTTGCCATTAAACTGCTCATATGGTAGGTGGCATGGTAGGTGCTCCTCCTCCCCACCTTGTAAAACCTCTTAAGACAATCAGATACTGCCTTTTACACTGAATTAACAGACTCCATCCCCGCAGACGGTTCTCCCAGCATGGGGGCATCAGAGCAGCATGTAACCTAAACCTGGCAAGGCCCTATGTTAGTCATGGCAAAAGCTAGCATGTATGTGGCTTTTCTCACCCCATACCCCTTAGTCATCCCAGGGAACAGACCAGCGGGTTACCAGCAGCCTAGGGCCAGCCTGTCCCAAGGTTGGGGATAGTGTAAAAGTAGCTAAAAGTCCCCGCAACTGTCTGACTATAGTTCTGGGGCAGTGGCGATTTGGACCCAAGAGAATACACTTACTGTTTACATAGCACTTCTCCTCTGAGACTCCCAGGTTACAACACCCTTGTGAGGCAGGTTGGTGTGATCAGTTGGGACAGGTCCTGTGCAGGTGAAGAGCCAGATCCAGCAAAGTGAGAGTGATGGGGGGGTGGGGACCTTCCCTGTAGGAGAGGAGGTGGCTGGGATATCATGCATGTAGGGGGCTGCCCTGTCTCCTTCCTGAGCCCTTAGAAGTAGACACCAAACTGCAGCATTTTTTCTTAGCCAGGCCCCGGTCATACCTCATTTCTAGTGAGCACCAGCCATTCTGGGAAGCTATTCTGCACTGTTGTGACCTCTTCCACATAGTAAATGTTGTGTCCACATTGCGCTAATTCGGTATTTTTCCTTTTACTGCTGGTGACTGGGGTTCATAGTGACCTAAACTGGGATAAATAAAGAGAGTGATTCCAGCTCACACCCTTTGTGCTTCTATGCTTGCTATCTGGATCTTGCTCACTGCTGGATTCCTAGTAAGTGACTTCAGGATCAGGATGAGACATAAGGGTTTGCAGTATTTTCTGGGCTAAGCAGAGGACTCATTAGACCATTATATAACTGAACACAAAGGGACCAGGGTAATTCAGCACAAAACAGGGTTAGTTGGCAACCTCCTATTCACATTCTTTTTCAACAAAGACTGAATCTTGGCATAAACAAGAATTTTCATAAAAGCATCTGCTTTAGACCAAAATGGTTTTGATTTTGTCTTTTGCTCAAAAAAAAAAAAATGAAAGCCAGAAAAACCAAACATTTCCATTGTGAAATGTTGCTGCTGTGCAGTCTATAGTCTGACCAGGGACCCCGGCCTAGAGAGGAGAATGGGAATGTGAAGCATTCACACTGCAACTCCCAGGAGGCCCCATAGTTCCATTTCTGAATGGACTTATTTTAGGTCTTAGCCAAAAATATTTCAGGTTTTGAAATTTCTGCAGAAAAAGGTAATTCCTGCCCCTGCCCCAGAATATTCTAGGAAACAATGAATTGTGTTTTGTTTTTGTTTGCCTTTCTTCAGATGACTCCACCTCCCTTTTTCTTTTTGACAAGCCCTACATTAAGTTCATCTCTAGCTCCGACCAGCAACAGAGATAGTCAAATCCAGACTGGGAATTGTTCAGAACAGTTCCCAACTGCTCCTTTTGGAAGTTACCTAGAATAAAAAAACTGGCCGCAAGGAGTGTTTATATATTGCCACTTCTTTTTCCTTCCTAGGTTTTACGTTGAAAATTTCCTGCTGGACAAGTGTGTGCGTTATAACCTTACCATTTACCCAGTGGTCATTATAGCCCTGATTGGCAGCGTGTGTAAGAACTATACCCCTTCACCTCCAAACACCAACAGCATTTTTCTAGGTGAGTTGTTTAATGTTTAAATTAATGTTAAAAAGAGGCCCACTTAGCTCTCCCGAGTCTCTTGCATGTCCTTTCTTCAGTGTGTTTTCCCTGCAGGCAGAAGGACCTTCCCACTACAGGTGACCTTGGTAAAAAAGTAGGGACTTACTTCAAAAAACAGAAGTGGAGCTTGCAGCCATCTGCAGGTTCCCTGCAAGTTGGAACAGAGTTGCAGTGGGGATGATGTGGAGGATGACACTGGGAAGCTTCTAGGAAGCTCCACGTGCTTAGGGAATTTTGCAATAGCTCCCAACACACCAGGCACCTTCAGGCTGTAAGCAATGACACTGAATACACAGTGTGCTTAAAATAAAGATCCAAGTTTCTGCAGTCCAAATAAAGTCCCTTTATTATTGCACAGAACTCTGTGCATGAAGCAAAGTTAGGGACCAACCTAACTGTGGCATTATTAGCCTGGGGCCTTCTACTCTTGGGGTTGAAACACAGACTAAAATCATTCCAAATCATTTTACATTGCAGCATATTTCAGTTCCCTCCAAGTCATCACCTCCTTAATACCCTGCATGCATTTTTACCTTGCAAGTGGTATAGCCTATACCCTTGTGGTCTACAGGAGCTACTCCCCTCTCCTGGATTTTGCGGGGTGGGAAGGCCAAATAAGACTTGGGAGGGACGGAGAGTTCCCAGTTGCACAGATTCAGCTTCCATTCCACATCCCATGGAGGATAGGGGAGCTCAGATCACTTTGCTGGCATTGCCTATTCCAGTAGTGTAACTAGAAGGTTTTTCCTCCTTCTGACTGTCTCAGAGTAGTAACATTTGTGCAAACTAGACCTTTCTCTGGCTGACAGCAGGATCTGGAACTTGCCCTGCAGATATTGTGAAGGAATGGTACAAGGACAATATTGGGGTTTATGTGGAGCTCTTTGTCAGTTTAACTCTTTGCCCAAATACCCCCCTTCTTGTGAACAAGACTATAAAGAGAAGTTATGCTATGTTCTCACCCAGTAACATATTGTTTCTTTTGTAGTTGTGCTACTGGTGGTGGCTTGTGTTATCTTTGTCATTCGGCTGGGAATAGTCATATGGAGATGTTGCAAACAGCCTCTAGAACTACCATCAACTTCCGAGTCTACAGAGTAAAAGAGAAATGGAGACCTTATGGGGGATGTTTTCAAAGGCACAAATGGGAATTGGGCACCTAGCGCTTACTGGTATTCTCTCACAGTGCCCCTGCCCTAGTGCCTTTGCAACTCTCCTATGGAAGAGTGAATGCAACAAAGAGGATATTAAGGACAGTGCCATGACTACTGCATTCAGTAGTGTCTCACTTTCTCCTTCTGCTCTGACCAATTATACTTTCCCCAGCACTTTTCACTGGACCACTCTGTGCTTTGTTAAAGTGTATTTTAACTCTGTACCAGAGGAAGAGACAAAAACAACTGTCGCAAAAGTACCGCCTCTATGGTGACTGGCTTCTGGCACTCGGGCACAGACAGTCTGAATAGGGCTCTCAACAAACAGGTGGCAGATCTGCATATACAGAGCTATGCATAGTTTTACACTAAGGTTTTGGTTATCCCTTGATAAAATCATGGCTCTAATTAAGTCATCAGCCAATGGTGACAGAGGTGGGTAGCTGTGACTGGCCCAGGCCCCTGGGGCAGTCATAACACTCCCTGGTGGCTGCACGGCTCCTGCCCTGCTCTGGTCCCTCAGGGTACCCTCCCCTTCCTCTCATCTGCTATGCCTGGATGAGATTATTTGATTATAATAAGGCCCCAGGGTCCCAAAGTGAACATTCATCCGTCCTTCAGCCAGCAAGTCCCTCCTGGACCCAGCTAATCCCAGGCCTCAAGCACTAAATGGGGCCCTCTTGGCTCTGCCCATGCCCCAGGGCACCAGTTGCCTTAATGGCTATTCATGGCCTCCTTCCACCCCTACAGACATGCCCAGGCCTCACAGATGTCACTTGGTTGCCAGTGACTCCCTTCTGTAGGCTAAGGCTAAGAAAGCCAAAGCCTATACATTACTCTGGCTGTAGACTGATAGCCAAGGTCCACTGCTTCTGGCCTGGCCTTTCAGTCTCAGCCCCTTGATGGCCTCAGGACACCTGTATCGCCCCCTTTGGGTTTAGGCTTTAGCCCCCTTGGCCTCAAGCTGACTGTGCCTTGCACCCTGCCCCTTGCAGGGCTCAAAACTTAGCATGTCCCTCAGGCACCCCTGTGGCTTCCCTTCCACCCCTGGCAGCCACATCCAGTCCTCCAATATAAAACAAAACCAAACCAAAAAAACCCATAAACAGTCACTTCAAATTCAAAGTCTCCCCTCTGCATTATCATACCACTGCCAAGCCACCTCCCTACGCTCTGGCTGTCTCAGCCCTGGGAGTACCTGGCATGCTTGCAGTTCCCACTCCTCACCAGCCTGAGCTGGCAGGTGCTTCTCTCCCTGCACTGCCCCAGTGCCTTGGGCGGGGGGATGACAGGCTTATGTCCCCTGGCTCCTCCCCTTCCAGTTAGGTGATCCCCTGCCCAGGCACAGGTGTCCCCGTCAGCCTCCAGGGCAGCTTACTGATGCTACTCTGGCTACTATAGCAATGCCCTAGCTGCCCAAGCAGGGCTCTGCCTTACTGAACTATTGCTGGGCAGGTAACCCTGCAATGGGTACTTACAACGTGTGGGTTCCCTGGCTGCCTACTCCCCTGCAGTGAGCCCATGATGTTCATTCTTCCCCCATTTGGGCACATCCCTGCTGCTGCTTTCCCCTTAAAGTAATAGGAGTCCCTAGCTCCCTGTTACAGTATTGCCATACACTTGACCTGATTTTGGTCAGGGCCAAACACTCAGAAGTCCCAGTGGTTGCTTGCATAACTCCTTTCAAATTCAAGTTCCTCCTCCCCTTCCAGCATGGCACAAGAAGAGCTTCTCTAACACTTGAGCTTTACTTTTGCAGTATTGGTTTTAACGTTCTGCATTGAATGTGCATGGATTGTTAAAGCTACTTCAAAGATTTTAAGCATAGGCTTATCCCAGGCTTAAAGCGGACAAATGTACCTTGGGCAATGAGGGTCATATTCCCAGGTCTGCTATGGCTTTGCCAAGTGAGTTTAGCTAAATGCATTAACTAACATCTTTGTGCCTTGGTTTTCTTTTGCCAGAAAGGGACTAGAACACCTGGCCTGGTTGCTATTATTAGGGTCTGTAAAGCTGTTTGAGATCCTTAGGTGGGTGGCACTGTAAGAGTCTTTGCAAGGCTGCACAAAGATGAGATCTATTAACATAACAACCAGTGCAATCTGTGCAGTGAAAATCCTGTTTCTGTTCTTTCATATCTTTTAAATAAAGCCTGTAGCTGCAGGACTTTCCTGTTACGTTTGTATCTTGGTGCACCCTTGGTCCTTCTGGGCGCACTGCTGGCACTTCCAGGTCAACACGATTGGCCATGGGGGGGACTCCCCCTCCCACCCATCCCTGGTCACTAACTGGCTGCTGGGGGGGAGGGGGGGAAAGTGCCCCCCCCCCCCGACTCAGGAGGCACCAGTCACCCCAAGGCCTTAAGCACATGGGTAGCCTGATACCCCTCAGGAGTCTGCTAGCCGTGTGTGTAGGAAGTGACCTATCTGCTTACACTTCTGCTGTAATTCATTATTAAAGATATGGCAACAATGCTCTGGTTATGGATCAGGCTTCCATTGTACTAGGTGCTGCACAGACACAGAACAAAAAGACAGAGCTTGCAGTCTGAGTGAGTCTGCACTCTAATCAGAGGTGTGACTTCAGCCCATGTAGTCATAGGTTAACTAGCTTCAGCCTGGGCTAAGTCAAGTAAGAATAGCAAAGCATCTCTGGCAGCACAGGCCCCTGTGTAAGCACTCAGAGGGTTAACCCCTTCAAAACTCTGCCACTGTGGTTACACTGTGCATGTTATCTAAGCTTGCTAGATTAGGGTTGGTTCAGGTACGTCCACACATGCTAGCATCTTGCATCAAACTGCAGTGCACATGGTCATGATGTCTACACAGTGAAGTTAACTGCATAAGCAACACTAGTTAGCCTGGGTGCAGCCTTGCACTAACGCAGCTTAACTGCTTTTGTTTCCAAAGCTAGCATCTACAGAGCTGGCTTGAGTATCTTTGTGTGATACTGTCTGACACCACATAGGTGTATCCTAACTACTTCTAATGTTGAGACCTCAGGGTGCATTTCTTACAAGAAAATGATGTGGTGGCAATTTAAAATAACAGAAGGCAACATGGAATCTGATCAAGAATGAAAGGTGGCCATGGGCCTGATAGTATAAATAGAAGACATGTGATAGGGCAAGGTAACCATCTTTAGTTTTGTTCTTTTAGTGCTAAATTATGGTAGTCTTTGCTGTACATACAGCGCACGCTTGGTGGGGTGGGGTGGTATGATTGCATGTGTTCTCCAGCTGCCATAGAGACTCTAATGTTTTGGCTCTGTGTGACAGTTGGCTTGTGTGGGTGTAATTTGCAAGAAGCAGCTACACCTTTAAAATATATTCAGGAGGTTCACGTAGAGCAAACTGTTCCTGGTGAACAGTACCACAGATAGGTGGCATCCAGTTTTTGCAAAACCAGACTCCTCTGAAGCCAGATTTGGGCTAGACTGTCTTTAGTCCTTGTTTCCTTGTGCAGGCTACATGCACTCTAGGTTATAGCATGGGGAAACAAGCTCTACAAACTCTCAGTCTGCTCCCACAGCTGTGCCAGGGGCAACACATCTACAGGCTGCCCTGGCTCAGGGCAGATGGAAAGGTCAGTGGTGTAAGGGAGTGGCCAGGTATCAGGCAGCAGTGATTTCATTTGCTGCCTCACTGCCCCCATGCTCTTGTGGCTGCCTGCCTTTTATCTGCACCCTCCCAAGTCAGTGCTCAGGGCAGTTACCCTAGTCACTCCAGCCTAGTTATGCCACTAGAAAAAATGACCCTGTTGTGTCAGTGATCTTGTTGTCTCTAAACATTTAATGTTTTATCATGAAGAGGCAAGAGTGTACCAGCCCAAGATTTGGCCCCCCTGCTTCTGGTCACATCTAATAAGAGCATCTTGGTGTGTGTGCAACCACAGCATAAGGTTTAAAATAGTTGACAACTCAGACTTCCACTTCCACAGCATCTTTGACAGCCTGAACCAAGTCCCAGTTCATTTGCTCTGGAGTAGCCTAGGTCCCAAAGAAGGGGCAGACTAAAGGGACCTTCACATGAGCTCCAAGGAATCACTCAGAACCTAGCGAGTGGCTGCTGCTGATGTGGCACTGTAGTGCCACTTAATGTTTAGTAGCTCTCCCAGTGTGCCTACTTCTTCCCATCTCTGACACCTTGAGTTGTTCCCAGAGGCCAAGCTGCGTGCAGCTCCCTTCCTCAGAACTGGGAGCGGGCTTAAATACCTCTCCACCTGTAAGAGGCAAAAGTAGCTTTGCAGGCGATGTTTATAGAGGCAGATCCACCAGCTAGAGGCAGTCCAGTAACAGGCTACAGTTACACTTCATCTGCCATAAGAAAGATGTGTTTGGCGAGATCTTTCATTGGACCATCCCAGTTACATTGACAATGTGACCTGCTGGACAGGAGGAAGCCAGGATCCTGCAGAAGTGGTGTGTCCTAGATACAGAGTCTGCACACCAGCTCTGGGAAAGGTTTGTTTCTTCTCCTTTGGGCTGTCGCAGACACAATTACTGGCATGTTGACTCTCCCTTCAGTATTTGCATCTCTAGGCTTGGGCCCCAACACAAAGCTGTTACAGCACTTAAAGGAGGAAAAGACCTTACTTTTCTTGTTCTTCCCTACCTCATGGGGTGAGAAAATGATAGTGAGCATGAGATGCTCAGACAGGCCAGTAATGGAGGGCTTTCATCCCTTAGCCACAGCTATTGGTGTCTGCAGTAACGCAGTCAAGGGAAAATAGAGCAAAGGTTCATCAGCATTGCAGCTGGTTTTTTTGGAGAGGTCTAATGGATGCATTGTGCTAAAATCTTGCTAGCACTGGAGCAGTGAGAAACTAAATTGTCTCCTGCTTGTCTCTTTGGCACAGAGAAGCATCAAATGTGATAGTTTATAGTGTAAATTCCTAGGCCAATCTGATCTGGAATACTGCCTAATTGAACTGGTTCTGGGTCAGGAGAAATATGCATTTGAAACAGCAGTTCAAAGATGTTAATTTCAAAGGAATTTAAAGACTCAAGTTCAAAAACATGAAAGCACCACGATCAAGCTTGCATTTAGCAGGCAGAGTTCCCTTAGGAAAACATGTCTCATTTTGTGAATTATGAGGGATAATTAAGTGTGTGTGAGTGGAAAACGGGCTTCTTATTTCATGGGGATGGCTTGTAGTTACTGCAGATTAGGCAGGAAAGCATTAAGC